TGCTTCTGTAAATATGGAAGTGTGGATTAGGTGCAGTCTAATAAATTTGATGTATAATTTTTTTTTGTATATTAGTGCATGAATTTACAAAGTAGAAGGAAGCTGTTATAAGCATTTTAAACAGCGTATATGTATAATTTTGTTTTATTTTTCAAGTCTTCTATATCCTTTTATGATGAAAATAAATGTGCTTTAGGTCACCATGTTAATATTTTTTAGGGGTATCAACCAGCAGAGATTTCCGTGCTGGTGTACATAATGGAATGTGGTTCTACAAGACTCTTTTGCTGTTAACATTCTGCATTGGAGCATTCTTCATCCCGGATCCAAATGATTTATTCATAAATGGTAATTTTGGTTATTTGTTTACTAGGACTTCTCTGGTGTATCTAGAGGAACAACTGCCTTAGACCTTATATTATGAGTTAGAAGAGGGTTGTAAATCAACTTAACACCTCACTGGTTTTCTAGAGGTCTTTAAATTATTTTAGAGCTTTTTCTAAAATTATTAATATGTAGGGGGCTCTTTGACAAAACAGTTCAGTGTAGTGTCCTCCTAAAGAAGTAGATTTTGATGACTAATGAGTTTCAGGTTTCTGCTCAACATTTTAAGAGATACATGTGATTATGAACCCTGCACCCTCTTACTTTCATTGGCTAAATGTGTCAGCAGTTATGATATAGTATACCAGGAGCCTAAATTACTTTCTATCCAAACTTTATAAAAATCAAACTAATGTGATACTGTATCTCAGAACTCTCAATTCACTTGTGTGGAATTAGTATGAAGGAACTCAAACTGTATTGCCATGTATTTTAAAACAAAGGCTTATCACATTCAATTTGGTTTATCTCTGCAATAATTGTCTATTTAAAAAAAAACTTGTTGCAAGAATAATTTGTTCCTAACAACATTGCTCATCATATTTTATATTTTACAATAATGTTGAAGAATGATAATAAGTTTTATTTGTATAAGTCTTCACAGGTGTAGAAAGGTTCAGCAAATACCACAATAGAAAGATTTGTGATTAATAAGAAGTAATAGTTTAGATATGGCCTTGTTCTAATTAATCCTGTTCAATGCAGTCATTTTGCTTCATTTTCATAGCTCTGAATAGAGGTTACTCTGGGATATCAGATTTTTGTTCCTCTTTTTTCCAGTGTGGATGTACACAGCCATGGCAGGTGCCGCCCTCTTCATTGTGATTCAGCTTCTATTGTTGGTTTTTCTGTACCATTCATGGACGGATAAGCTGATGGCACGTGTAAACAATGGAGGATCTGCATGCTGTTGGTATGGAGGTTAGTGTGATGCTTTATATTTTTTTTATACTGAGATTATTTAGCTATAGAAGATTTGGTTGTATTAGTAAAGACATTACAGCAAATTCAACAGTTAGTAGATATGCTGCTTGTGAGTACTTTATTATGTGGAAAGATATCCTTAGACTTAGATGTCCTTAGTTGGTATTTTCTAATGATTTGTTTACTTGAAATATAAAGCTTCTTTTCCTACCTTATATTTTAGCATATATTTATCTTTGATTTAGCCTGTGTATAGAAAAGCAAATGATATTAACTAAGCATAAAATTCCTTGAATTCAGTGGTAGCTGTGCCTGCATCCATCTTGGCATACAGTGCATGTGCCTGTTGTGTCATTCTCCTGTACTATTTCTTTGCAATGGGAGAAGGATGCAACCGAAACCACTGGTTTATTATCATAAATGCAGCAGCCTGTATTTTGGCATCAATAATTGCTGTTATTAAAAAAGGTGAGGATTATATTTGTAGATATTTTTGTAGGAAAAGAGTAAAAAAAGAATTGTTATATTTTTCCATCACAAAAAGAATAAAATCTCATAATGATGTTGGAATTGAAAATTGATAGATGATTTTTCATTTATATTTATTATCCTTATTTTGTAGAAATGATATGTGAAATTTGCAGTTTTGATGAATTTTGACATATTTTTTTGCTTGTTATTTTTGTGAGATAAAACAGGGCAGTAAATCATATACTTAATGGAACAGATCATACCAGGTTAGATGAAACCAAGTGCAATTTTTTATTTGAATTACTGAATTCTGATTTCAGGACCAAAAGATGTCCGTCTGAGACTTCTACATTCTTCACTTGTGTCGATGTATGTCACATACCTCACATGGACAGCCATAGGAAGTGCCCCACGCAAGTACCAGAAAACTACTGATAATGTCTGGATTGGGCCTGGTTATGATATCAACTCCCGAATAGTCTTACCTGAGCAGGAATACTATTGTGGACCAAATGAAGATGAAGAGAGTTGGGGAGATGAAGTCTTGCCTTATGTAAGTTTGGCGATAACATTTGTAACTGTTATGTATTCTGCAATTGGCTCATCAACCCCAGAGAACTGTCAAGCCATAGAATTTCCCAGCTGCCCGGCTAAGCAGAATGTTCAACGACACAAAGTAGAAGACATCGGAGGTCAGAAGGTGGTTCGCAATGAGGCTGAGGGCTTGGCTTATAGCTATTCTCTCTTCCATGTCATGTTAGGACTAGCGAATCTATATATAATGATGAGTTTAACAGCATGGTACATGCCTTCATCTGCAACTCTGATGACATTTGGTCGTTCTTGGTCTGCTGTTTGGGTCAAGATGATCTCTTGTTGGGTTTGTCTTATCATTTTTGTAACAGTAACCATCTTTCCTTCCATGCTTCCTAGCAGCTCTGTTCGCAGTAACTCCATAGGCAGTTTAAGGAATGGTTATCCAGGTAGTGGATATTTGGGTAGTTCACGCAGCCTGGATGATGAGGCAGCTGTGCCTCTGTCACCTAGCAAACCAACAGTTACCATCCACCAGGAGACAACTGTGTGAGCTGAAACTGGAGGAATGCTTTTATTTATTGAGTTACATAGTATAATTTATTTGTTTGTTGATCTATGATAAATTTGTATCTGTTTTGTTAATTTTCTTATGAATTGGTAAAAAGTTGAATACTGATAAATGGATATTGCATTTTCAAGTGATCTGAGATACATTTAAGTTCTTGATGCACTCTAATGACTCCTTTCGATTGCCATGGTTCAGACCTTTGAGTTTTATAGAAGCTTCTGAGTGGTTAAGGTTCAGTACCTTTTTAATATTTCACGCATAAGACAGGACAAAACTTTGCAGAATCTCTAAAAGATTATTATTAGATCTGAACCTAATGTGAGTTTTAATAAGATCTTGTGGTTTTTATTTTATAGTAAGTAACAGTACAGAGGAGAAGCCATAGAATCAGGTGTGCATAATTGCAGCCTTTGCTGTAAATTCCTGAGAAAAGTTACAATAAGCTCACTGGAAGTAAGTAAATGTTACTTTTGCTTATTGTAACTGAGACAAACAGCCAAAGAAATGTTTCAGATTAGCTTTAAGGAGGGAAGTGTAAGACTAATAGTACTCAGAATCTTAGCTTAGATGCCTTACTAATTTATAATTGGCACTGATCATAAACTCATCTAGGGATGTGTCAGTAGATTAATTTTTTTTTCATTTTACTTTGAAGTGGTATTTTATTTACCTGGTTTGAAAAGTACTTACTGTTTTTTGTGTGAATAGTAAGACAACCTGTTTGACAGCAAGGTCACAATGATATGTTATGTATTTGTTTAGCATTTATTAATTCCAGTTGCAAGAGTATTTTGAATAATTGGAAAATTCAACTAAACTTTTACTCTTGATAGACCTTTTTTTAAGGTATTATTGTTACTGTGAAAAGTTGTTTATTTTGATTACCTATTTACTTTTAACCCATTAACGCCGGTATATTTTGAAGCCGAAAATAAAAGATTCCGGGCAGCTACAAAATTGGCGTGCGGGACTGGCCCGGACTCTGCCCACGTCAGAGCGCGAGCCCCAATACAGCGTCATACTGGTGGGACGCCCGGAAATTTGTATTTTTTCGGGTGTCTCATATATGGGACACCCGTCATTAGTGGGTTAATGGACTTAATTAATCCACTAAACTGTGTCAAGAAAGTAGCTGTGACCTTTGCTTATGCATTTTATTTAGTTGATTATATATGTAGGAAACACATAATTTTTTTTTTTCACAATGAAGATTTTCTTTAAGCTTGAGATTCACTGCATCTCAGTTGGATATCAAACTTTTAACTAATTTTTGTTTAGACTTTAATTAAAACAGAGTGTGAAACTTCAGCAGACCATTTTGTGTTCATGTGATACTGCAGTAAAACATAAATGCTGCCATAAAAAGACATGTGCCTAATTAATGATATATTTTTAATCTTAGTATAGATTTTACACAGTTACTTTGCTTGCTTTCTTGGCTTGAGATTGAGATAGCATGTTAACATAATAGAACACGTTCGGAGACATTCAAAGATCAAAGATGACAAACATACATGCACATGTATCCCCCCCTCCACACACACACAGGGTGAACTCCCTGCCCTAGCTACTTATGTACACATATACACTACCCATCACTCAGAGTGCCTACTTATACTTGCATGTTGGATTATATATTTCAATTGAATAGCTTGATAGAAAGAAACTGACTACAGTGTGTTGCTGCATAGTGTTACATCTCTGAAGCTATTAGTAGAATCATTCTTCATTCTTACTTTCATGCAATGTACATAGTTTTGGTATCATTGAGGGTTTTGGGAGGGGGTCACACAGTAGGTACATGAAAGAAATTCAGGTCAGTCACACATCAATCAATCACGCTTACTAACACACTGACCCAATTGTCTCGCTCTACATGGGTATAGGGGAGATGAGTAAAGTTCCCAAGTAGTCAGTTTCTCTCTGACAATCTATTCAGCTGATGGGTAGTGTAGACACATAGATGATTTATGCTATACGAGTACAAGTTGTAAATAAGATATTCAAAGGAAGAACAGGCAAGCTTGCACACACACACACACACACACACACACACACACACACACACACACACACACAACACACACACACACACACACACACACACTCTCTCTCTCTCTCTCTCTCTCTCTCTCTCTCTCTCTCTCTCTCTCTCTCTCTCTCTCTCTCTCTCTCTCTCTCTCTCTCTCTCTCTCTCTCTCTCTCTCTCTCTCTCTCTCTCATTTTAACACAAAGCATATATATATTTGTTATCTTGAACATGGAATATATATGAAAAAATATAAAGTTGTATGCACTGAATTTTTAAACTGTGGCTGTATTTTTAGTCATAAGATTTTTTTGTGGTTTGCATTTCTAACATTGTATTCATTTGCTTATGTCCAGACTACACAATAGAAACATTTACCAGGCAGCAAAAAGCAAGATAGCCAACCAAGTAATGTATATATATGATGAGGTGGAAGATGGTCTAGTAAAGTTATTGCTTGGCTAGGTTAGAAATTTGTTGCCAAAATGAAATTTTTATTTTATCTTTCTAGGTGATAATTTTATTTTTCAAATGCTGTATTTAAATTGAAATTTGAGTGCTTATGCTTCAGGTAATGCAAAGTAGGACTTCCATTTTCAGAAGATGATGGACTTTCAACTACAAAAAAAGCCCATAAATGTCTGAAATGATTGATGATTCTTATATGAATATATCAGAATACCTTCCTGAAACACAAAGATTAATATTTTTTAAAACAAAGAGAAATATAGTGTGATGGCTTATTGCTTTCTATTTTTCTAGTGTATAAAGTTTCTTCCTTGATATATTTTCATCAAGTGCACATAATAAATGTCTAGTAATTCTTTGGCATCTTGTAGAGGATTTGATGGTCTTTGTCTCTCTCTTCTACTGTAAGTAGAATTGGGAATGCAAAGGGTGTTTGTTCATATCTGTGACATTGCCATACTTAGGGTATATCTCTAGAGTTTGAAGTGCATGACCTGCAAAATAGTCATAAAATCTTGGTAAATTTCTATATATGATAGAAGGGTTCACAGGTCTTTGGAAATGTCTTTACAAAGGGAAGAGCAGGCTCTGAATGAGTGTAAAAGTGAGAGTCACTGTGAGATATTTGTATATGCATTATCAGTACGTAGGGACAAAGCTAGAATTATAGGAACAAGGTTCGGAAACCTGTTGTGTAAAATGGATTAGGCTTACAGAGCTTTCAAAGAGAGAGTTGCTGTGATGCTTCTCTATTGCAGCTTGCATGACCAAATTGGTTACTCTTGTATTTCAACAACCATTTATATATGTTGTAAGTGAATTATTAAACTTTAAATTTAAAGATAACATTCACAAATCCTAAGGGGGGCGTCGCACCCGAGAACAAAGTTTGTCAGTTATTGTCGGATATTCGTGGTTTTGTAATATGTTATATATAAATATAAAGTGATAAACACCACCAAGTTTCGTATTATTCGGCTAATAAATAATGAAGTTATTAACGAAAAACAAGTTTTTGAACAATTACAGCCTCTTAAAAATGGCATTTATCCATTGAACAAATTTGTTGAAAAAATTATCACCTATAGTCTATAGCAATACCTAAAATTTGCAAAGACCAGAGTTTTGAATTTTGTTTTAGTTTAGTGGGAATTTATTTTTTTCTAAATGTCTAGTCTTATGAACATCACGATATGATATATGGACTACTATTAACTAAAAAGAAAATTTTCTTTAAGAAAATCATCGCAAATATATTCAGCTTTTAAATGATCCCCATTAGAATCGCCCAATTATTTATGGATGAATTTTAAAAATGCTGACAATTATTGACAAAAGTGTAGTTTTGAAATAATGGGCTCCGAAATTTTGGATTTCCCTCGATATATATATATATATATATATATATATATATATATATATATATATATATATATATATATATATAATATATATTTATATAATATATATATATATATATACATATATTTTTTTTTTTCTATTCTGCGGCAATCTTGCTGCATTCTATTGCGTTCACATGGTATTCTGAAGTGTAGCTGGTACATGGTCCCCCCTTTTGCAAAGTACTAATGGTAATAACTGCAAATGATTGTAGAAATTCCCTTTGGAACACATGGTTTGTAAGGCCTAACCTGACGACGTGAGATATTTAAATGTATAATGCTAAGCAGCTGTGATTTAGAAGTATTTCCTATCATATTACGTCTATCAAAATTATAAACTAAACTAGCATCTACAACTAATAGTGTGCCCTTACTGTGTGATGATGCTGTACGTCTGCGGTATGGTATCATGGAGCTAGGAGCTGGCAACCTTTCTCTCTGATTTTCTGGTGGAGTTTCGTCTCCCAGACCTGCAGTCTTCGCAAACAGCTGATGGGTAAACAGAGTTACCAGCTAGCTACCAGACAATTCCAAAATAAACCAAAAAAAAATTATGAAAAAAAAAAAAAAATTCTGTCGAGTAAATTTTCACGGACACGATAATGTAAACATCGGAGCGGGGGGCTGGGGGGGTCAGAGATTTAGTCATAACTCCTTTAATTTTACATATTTAGCAAAAATATTATATCATGAGATTGCCAAAGCCCACTAGATTA